TGCAGAGCTGCATTGTCCAGCCCAGGGGGCTCCCAATGGATCTGGAATTTGGCAGTGGGGGAGGAGCGGCAGCATGTCGGAGCGGGCCCACGGAGATGGATGGGCTGAGCACCACTGCTCTACAAAGTACCTCATAAGAGCATTTGTTATTCTGGATGTACTGTCAGGTATGAATTTCAGATCATATAGCTAGCCAAATATTATAGACTGAGAAACACACTCTTTATAACATAAGGGGTAGGTATCTTGTCTTCTGGAAATTTTTGCATGCCTCTAATTTAGTGTTATTATTTTTCTGTGATGGTTTTCCCCCTTTTCTGCTAGATCCTTCTAGAGACAGGACGACTAAAAATGAACAAAGCATTTAGATCAGCGGTTGTCAACCCAGGGTACGCGCCCCCCCAGGGGTACTTGAGAAGGCCCTATGGGGTACACACAGGCTGGTGAGGACGGAGCACCACTATGCACAATCCTGTGTTTGTGTGCAGGTACCACCCACCCGGCCAGACACAGGGGTAGGGGAAGCTCGCACGCGGCGGCTGCTGTCGCTCTGCATCTGGCCCACTCCCCACCCCTGTTCCGCGTCCAGCCACTGGAGGTACACTGCTCCTTGTCCAGCCACTGCGGTACACTGCCCAAAAAGGTGGAAAACTCCTGATTTAGATGAAGACATACCACTGATTTACATAATGACATTATGAAGTCTACAGCATTATTCTCTATACTTCAATGTTTATACACCTCTAAGTTCCTGTTCTGAGCACTGAAATATATTCAGCAAATCTTTTTCACTGAGTTGGCCACAGTAATGGCCAGGTCTTTTTCATGAGTAGTTTTAGTTAATTTAGGTCAGCTATATGTATGAGGAGTCCAGACACTTGTCTAGTTGAAGGTTTTCTGCCATTGTTTTATTTACCCCCTAAATAGAAGCTGTTACCAGATGGATGTACCATATTTACCTGAACATCACCTGCACCCCTTTTACCCAAAATTAGCCCTCTGAAAGTGTGCGTCTCAGGCAGGGAAGCTTATTTTTCCGCCAAGAACAAAAGTATGGAGACACCTAAAATATAAAATAGCTCCTGTTTCTTTTCTTTCTCTTCTTCCAAGTGACCACATGGAAGGAGAAGCAGAGTCCGGTCTTTGGCAGCAGCTACAGTTTTAACCCCTTTGCAGCTGAATAAAAACTAATCTTCAAGCTCTTCAGCTCACTTAACCTCCTTCCCCTGCTCAGATAAAAGCATCCAATTCAGCTATTAAAGGGTTAACTATAGCTTCTGCATATGGACGAAAGGGAGGGTAAGTCATTAGGCTCTACCCCTGCTCTATGCAGCCATAATTCCATAAAAATCATTTTTCTTAATTCTGCCTTCCCAAAAACAAGGTGTATTTCTAATTTGAGGACATATGATATGTGAAATAATATAGTAGGTTCTAAGCACAGGCTATGGCAAAATTTTGTCAACACTTTCACTACTTCATGGATTAACACTGCTCTAAAACAGCTAGAGAAGACCTAGTACTTGTTCCCTCCATAGCCGTGTCTTCACGAGCAGGGCCATGAGTTTCCAGCAACACCAATCGTAGCAGCACAAATTTGTGCTGCTATTTTGTGCTGCAGGGCACACTCTTAGTTGTCCAGTTTGCAGCAGGACACATTGTCTCACAGCTCCATGTGCTGCAGAAAGGCTGGCTGAGGCGCAGTCTGCCTCAAGACGCACTGCGTCTTCATGCCTCTTCATGCACTGTGGAGCCCCCAGGCTGAGACACCCTGTGCCCCAGTCAATTGGGGAGCAACACATGGTGATGAAGAAACAGGCAGCCTTGCTCTGCACTGTGGAGCCCCCATCTAGAGGCACCTTGCACCCCAGCCAGCCTCTCCCTCACTGCCTGGGGCACAGTCTGCCTCGAGACAGCAAAGCAGGTAGCCCTGGGCTGGCTGCTCCCCTGTCTCCGTGTGCCTCAACACAGGGGTCCACTGTGAAGCCCCAACACTGAGGCACACGGAGGCCCCATCTCAAGGCATCCTGTGCCCCAGCCAGCTGCAGGGAGCCCCCGTACTGAGGCAGGCAGAGACATGGCAGCAACCAGTCCTGGGCTCCCTGCTCCCCCATCTCGAGGCACACTGCGCCCCAGCCAGCCAGGGAGTGGCTGGCTGGGGCGCAGTGTGCATCAAGACAGGGGCTCCACAATGGAGCCCCTGTGCTGAGGCACACAGAGACAGGGGAGAAGCCAGCCCTGGGCTGCCTGCTCCCTTGTTTGAGGCAGAATGCACCACATCCAGCTGGAGAACAGCTGGCTGGGGTGCAGGGTGCCTCAAGATGGGGGCTCTGCAGCATGTGGAGACAGGGAACCAGGTAGCCCAAGGCTGCCTGCTTCCCCCCTTCCCCTTCTCCATGTGTATGGATGGGGCATGGGGTATCTCAGCACAGGGGCTCCCTCAGCTCCATGTTTGTCCTGGCGCATGGCACTTCGGCATGCTTGGCGCCGCCTTTTTTATCTAGGGGGGGTTTTTGCCCCCAGGAAATCCTGGTAGCAAATTTTGCCTTGGCGCTGCAAAGTAGCAGCGCTGCATAGTTTAACGTGCAATACATGTGGTTTGTGGTGCTGCAAAGAGGTTTGCAGTGCCACAAACCACATGTGCCTGCACATCTGGATCCAGCCCATTTGTCCATGGAAGCCAACGGTTCTGTCTGAATGATTTTACCTGCAAACAACAAAAAAATCCAAATTTGTGAGGATATTTTATCAGCCATTAAAATTAAGTAAGCCAGTGGGCCAACTACTTGAAACAAATTAATTGATCAAAATTTAGGGCATTCTATGATGAAGGTAAACTGACTTTGCTCTGGTTTCTAAAAATACCTTTATGTCACTGTCAGTCAGAACTGGCACGAGACATCTGCCAACAGCATACTAGCTGGCTTCCCTACAATTAGTCTCAAGTCCTGTATGTCTCAGGTTAGTTATAATAATAAAGCTGGGGAAGACAATCTGTGAGATCTTGTCATCATTAGTTTGAGGACAAAAGACTGTCCTAAAGTTCTAGCTATCAGTAGAGAAATTACATTCTCTCCCAGACCACTCAGGAATATTCAATTTCTAATCAGTTTTGATCTAAACATTCATTAGCCTTCCTCAAAATCAGTTCATCAACTCAATTAAAGAAGTGTATCCTAACTCAAAATTGAAGAGCTAAGCATTTCCCCATGATACAGAGAACATTTCTTATTGCTCTGCCTCTTATCTTAGTTTATAAACTAGAGGTCCTCAACCTTTTTAGACTCAAGGCACCTCTCCATAGAATAAGGCACCTCTTGGAAAATGCCACTCTTAGTTTTCACTCATTTTTTTACTACAGAAAAAATACTAGAGAGCAATTCTTCTGTTGCAAAGAGCTCAAAAAGATTAGAACAGGGCAGAATGTTTTTAACACTACCAATTCTTACTTGAAATTGCTAGGTTTATTTTGTGAAACATGTTTGCGCACCTAACAGTGCTAACATCTTGTGGCCCCCAAAGCGCCCTGGTTGAGAATCACAGTTATTAACTATATACAAGCGAGAACAAGTTCATTAGTTGAAAAAAAAAACCTACAGTCCCATTCTTGCTAGCCCTACAGTTATACCAGGGACATCCAATGGTGAGAACTTCACCGACTGTTATCAGTCTAAAATATACATTGCCGTGTACTTTATAATTTATGTTTTTACTTCAACACTTTCCTTTCAGGCTCTGCATAAACTGATTCAGTGTCAGGTGTAGGACACCGTTGTATCCAATACTACTCAACACTTTAATGTATAAGCCCCAAAAGCAATTCAAGAAAGTGAAAATTGAAGTGAGAAATATAAGCTCATATAATGCCTCTTTCTATTATGAAATAAAAACAACACAGTTTGAGTTTCCTTAATATTGAGTAATATTGTTTATGCAATAAATTCTCCTACAAGGTGTTAAAGTATTTTGCAGTAAGGGGTGGTAGAAGAGCTTCTGGGGTTCCAAAAATATTTTGAGCACAGCTGCTAAAAAAGCACATTAAATGGATTTCCTGTTGCATGCTACCAAGGAAAAACTAATACAATTTTTCTAATTGTAGTCATAGATATTTCCATCCAGACTGACTCAGACTTGGCTTTGTTAGGTTCAATCCTGAAACCACACTCAAGTTAATGAAAATTTTGCCCTTAATTTAAATGGGAGCAGAATTGGGCCTGTTAGAATGCTGTAGCATTTCTGAAAGTCTCTTTACTTACTCTGATTATTTATGTATAAGTGTAGCCTGATCAGCAAGAATGTATTCCATCAGTAGTGAATCAATTAACCCATCCTCAGTCCTCTCCGGGAATAGAAAGGCAGATTTTTACAGCACAAAGGAAGTTGTTGCTTTCTTACCAGAAGCAATTGGAACTGGATAGCTATGACCTGCTGGGAGTTTTTGTTAAGTGCCAGGTCAGCAGTCTCCCTCTTAGGTAATGATTATGCCATTCACTTCACAAAAACCAAAGCAGCACAAAAGAAGCAAGCAAGTTAAAGAAGACAAATAATGGAAAGTCTGGGAGATGCTGGCATTATTGACTTTGTTATTATGACAAATGGAATTGCCTGATGCCACTAAGTATGCCCTGGGAATAGGTTCAGTTAAAATTGTGCCTCAGTAATGCATAGTGATAGATTCTGTTATTGTGCTTCCAAATTTTGTCTAAATTATTCAGTTAAAAAGGTAGGAGATCAGGATTTCCAGAAAGGCAATTTTTTGTAGACTAGGCACCATTGCTTCCAACCATTTATGCATGCTGTGGTGAATATTGTTTAAGTTAGGTAACAAACATTCCAACTGGCACTCATCTCTTATACCTATGATCCATCATAAAATCTTAAAATGCTTAGTATTTAAACTGCAACAAAAAGGTTTGTAATTTGCTGTGAAACTAGAATGTGAAATAATGATTTTTGCAGCCTTTAAAGATCAAAATGGTCTCTGTGTGCTATCAACTAACCTGACTACAGGATGTTTCAACCCTGTGCATCCCATAGGAGAAGTCATCGGTGAAAGTAATTGCATCAGGACTGATCACATCAAAGAATGAAGGCCAACCTGGAAAAGAGGAACAAGATAAGCAACAGAAAGAGAGCACTATGGTATCTTTGTGTCAGCTCACTCTAAAAAAAAAATTACACACAGAGCATAACACTTTCAAAAACATCTGAAGTGATTTAGGAGCTTTAATCCCATTTTGGTGACTTCAGTTCCTGAATCACCTAACAAGCTTAGAATATTTTACTTTCAATAAAAAGTTATTCACACACGGAATAAGTTGCCTCTCTTCTATATCAAAAGCTTTTTCTAGGCAAGCACCTCCCTTGACAGTAACTGCAGCATCTAGCTCAGAGAGAGCTGCTCAGGTTAACTTAGGCTCGGATTCAATTACTTTAAAGTTGTAATAGTCAATAAAAATACCCTAAATTCTATTGAGGCTCCAAATCAGAAGAGTTTGCAGAACCCTAGTATTGTGCACTCCTGGTGCAAAGCCCCACTTAATAAGGGAGTTGCTAAATTTTAGACTAACTTCAACTTCAGAGTGCTCTCAGGTGTAGTCTTATTCAGAGATTATAGTAGTCTAATCTCTGGATGACAAAGGCAGGGACAGACATAAGGTTCACATCCAGAACAAAAGATCTCACTCAAGTTACCAGTAATGCAAGGAGAAACATGTTCTTCCACAGAGATGCTTCCTGAGCATTCAGGAGCAGTCTCAGGTACCAAACAGCTATAAAGCCATATACCCGATTTGCAACAAATGGCCAGAGTCATCTGAAGAATGATCCTTTATCTTTTAGCCAGACAAGGTTATTTGGGTAAATCTGATATAGTTTATTAGACTAACTAAAATAGTTGGGAAACTTGTTCTTTGCAAGCTTTTGGGTGAGGCCTTCTTGGGATGTTTTCAGAGGTAATGTTCTTTTTGACAATTTTTTCTGAGCAGTACAACTACAATCCAAGGCATCTAATGCTCTTTCATTATGCCTAGTTTATATACCTGCTGGCTGGAGGCCTCCACTTTCTCACCTGCAGCAGAGATTTCTGCAGTTATGTTCTCCATTTAGAAACCAGAAACACTGAGTGCAGTCTGTATTTTATCTTCTTTCTCTTTTTTTGCTGTAATTATTGCAAGCATTTCTTTCAAGGAGCTATTTACAGGTGAGAAAGTAGGAGGGTAAGGGAGTATGTTAGGACTACAGAATGGCATGAGCTAGGAAAGAAAGAGGCCCTGGACCTGTAAAATGCCTTGCTTCTTGGATGCAGTGTTCTTTTCAGTTTTTTTTTAATCCAACTTCTGTTACTGAAAACCTCACCAGTTGAATGTGAAATCTCATAATCTCTTATTCCACTGAGAAACTGTATGAGCAGAAATATCTGAAGTATTCAGGTACATATAATTCTTCATGACATGCGCATAAAGGGAATCGGACAACATCTCTGATCTCAGTTTTTCTGGAATAATCCTAATCTGTTTTTCTATCAGCTGGAAAAGAAAAACCATGAAAATCTTAAAGAAAGGTAGCATCTCTTTCATTCCATCACTGCTCCCTGAGCATCAAAACAGCTTTTTACAAAATAATCAGTGCAATCTGGATTACTTCTCTTTGTTTTAATTTAAGCATGTTATATTTAAACAATGGATTGACAAGAGCACTCCAGATGTCTCTTGGACAATGAACATTTATAGGGCCTATTCTCTTCATAAACCAACAATATAATATAGTAATTACCATTACTTCTTCCTTAGGGCTTCTAAATACTTCTAAATATAGAATGGCTAGAGTTGCTTGGATTTCCTGTCAAATGTACTAGACATCTCCAAACTACTGTTAAAATGCAACAGGTAAGCACCAGCTGGGATCTTCTTACCAATGTTTTTATAAAGATTCAACCATTAATAATTTCTTTTTTGTTTCAGGTTCAGTAAAACCCCTGAACCGAATTTACTTCCCCCAAAGGATATTTTTCTCTTTTCCTTTGAATAGTGTCTCTTGTTATGTTAAATCATGGTTAATGTTTTTAAAAATATAACTTACACATAAGCCAGTTGTAGGTCTTTAGTATCAAAGAATCTAAACAGCATCAGGTGAAGTAGTGTAACCTTAAACTGTAATTTTAAAATGCCACGAAGAAATGTCTCAAATAGTTTTTAAAATTTATCGTTGACCTAGTAACCTCAATCTCAAGCCTTCAGCTTTGGATACTTTTTTTGTTTGTTTTTCTTCCAAGATCACGATTGATAAAATAAATGTATGTTGCACAAATAGCCTGCAACTTGTATCATTGGGCACTACTGCAATTTTCATGTAGTATAGATTAATAATATACGTGACTAAGTCAATGAACCAGCCATTCAAATGATTTAACCAAACAGATATCCTGATACAATGCATTAAAAGGGAAAATTAAATGAACAACAAAGGCAGCCCTGTCATCATCATCAGTTCATCTTCCCTGCAATCCAAGATTTAAACTATTATGACTATTGCTATTGTTAACAACAATTATTTGTATTTGGAGCATATATGGGATCGAACCATGGAGCTGCACCCAACTTGCTGAGTCCTGTAAAATCTTTAAATAGTTAAACAGTCCCTGCATCAGAGACTTAGAAAATTTAACCTATACAGAATTTTCTGAAAGATCCCCCCACCCCAGCCATTAACTCACTAAGTGACTTTCTGTGAAGTCAATATAACTTGAATAGCAACAACTAGCACAGAAGCTAGCACTTTTACAAAGTCAGGTAAGCACCATTTACTCCATTATCTTTTTGACTATTTACATTACCATAGATTTAAAACATTTCTTTTGCTTATGAAAGACATTACTAAATGCTACCTCAATTGTAGAGAAAACATATAGAAATCTTTGGTGTAACAATGTTTCATAAGGAGTTACTACTTTACTAGGTTTTCCATTTGGACAGAATGTAGGAAATAATTTTGCCTCTTCCAAACTTCATGGGCCACATTCTTTCCTCAGCTATGTCTGAGTGAGGCAACAGATCTATCTTAGGTACCTTCTGGCCCCTGTGTTCTGTAGCAGCTTAGCATCTACAAAAATCTTTAAGTGTCTTTGTTCTTAACATCCCTGTGAGGTAGACATGTACAGTTATTGCTGTTTCACAGATGGGAAACTAAGGAACTAGCCAGATCCAAAAAAGGATGTAGGTGCCTAAACCCCACTGAAATAGAGGTTAGGCACCTAAATACCTTTTAACACTTATCCCCAAGTGACTTGCCCACAGTCACACAGGAAGGCCATTGCAGATCTGGAAACTGAACCTAGGTCTTCAAAGTTCCAAGTGCATATCTCCATGACTGCTGGACCACATGCCAAACAATATTATGGATCACTTGTATAAGAAAGAGAGTGCAATAACCAGTAAATAACACAGATTTGTATGTATAATCATCTATAACTCTGAATAAGGTCTACTCCACAGAAACTTAGGGCTATTCCTCCCTTTTGGGAGAGTTAGATCTGTGGCAATTTTCCTTTGGAGTATTTCAAATACAAACATCCACAATTTATAAAAGCATGTTAAAATATTGTTGCTATAGTGTTATGTAGATCTGTGGAATTAATTTATTAAAATAACCAAAACTCAGAAAAATTGTTTTGAGGCTCAATAATTTGTTGGATATTGACCAGGACAGAATCACTCAATCAAAATGCAGTTTGAACTGATCCCATTTCATGGCGAGACTTCCTTTATAGAGCAGTATGTATTCTCAAGTGTGACTCCACACAACACGTTGCCCTACTACAGTTTAACCAGCACAGCTACCATTACAGAGACAAAGTTAGGAAACAAGGGAAATCGTGATTAAAAGATAGAAGGCAGCCTTCATCCTGTTTACTTTAGATATTAAATACGATGAGAATTTATGTTACATTTTATTCACAATTAATTTAAAGGGGGCAAAATATTCTTCACCACCAAGAACTTTTTTTCAAGATTTGGGACAAAACTTAGGAAAATATATTGACAACAATCTCCATCCATGTTGCTCCAAGACAACTGCACTTCTCTGAAACAATGCAACTCACAACAACTTGGATGGAAAGTGAGAAAACTATAAACAAATTGTTTTTGTTTGATTTGCCAACAGACTGAACTTCAAAAGGAGACCAAAGCAGGCAGAAGTCCAGTACCACCTGCAAATGATACTGTGAGACCTTCCACTTTAACAAAGCCTTTCAACTATCACCAGATTAACAGGGGGAAGGAGGAAAGAATGAGAAATAAATGCATATCCCTAGCAGAGCCAGCTTTCCAGTGCAGGTAGCAGAGCAAGGACCAGCTGCAATGTACAACCTAAAAGCTAACTGATGCACTGACTTCAAGGTCCATTACTGTGAGGGGTGTTTATATCCACACAGTCTGGACAAGCACCCCTCAGCAAGCAGCCCCCTCAACAAGCAGCCAGTGTAGAACCAGACAAATCACAACTACTACAGTGGCAGGAACAGAGCTCCTTTTTCCTACTTTGTGAACTACTGAACATTGGGGAAGCATCCAGATGAGTGGGAATGTGTGCTCTGCGGCACCTCAAAGGCTTTTGAGGCATTGCAAAATGCATGTGGCCCACATGAAAAGGTTCTCTGTGCTACGTATTTGCAGCACAGAGCACAAATTAGATACTGGGACATCCTAGTACCTAAAAAACCGACACCAGAACAAAGTGGTGTGGCACATGTGGCTGCAGTGTGTGCAACCTGAAACCAGAGCCTGGTTAGTCAGAGCCATGCTCCAGCTGCAGGCCAGGCTTGGCACACCCAGATCGCCACCTCTGCAACCCTGGAAACCCCTGGCCCTAGTCTCCCCTACCCCACACAGGGCAATTTGCCATGCACCAGAGCGCACGTGCAGGGGCATCGTTTGGAGACAAGTAGCAGTGTCACAACTCCTTAACTAAACAGTTAAGGAGAAGAAACAACAGTGATCAACATCTATTCAGTTGCCAGCCTGTCATGTGGCACCAGTGAGAGGCAGGTAGGTAACAGTGAAACTATGGGGAAAGATGCAAAAACTTGGAATCTTAGGA